ACGGGTTCGAATCCCGTTGAAGCCCTGATTTTTTCAGGCTTCTTCTTTCCAGTTGCTTAAATTGGAAAATTTACTGCGATGATCATCCTTCACTTTTGTTTTAAAATGTATTTGTAAATAGGCTTCTCGTGGTAAGTGAGGGGGGTGGCGACTACAATCAGGCCTAGGGTGCCTAAGTGAAGGGCGGTCAAACGTGCAGTCCGCTCTTTGTGCAATGTGTGATGCGGAGTAGGACTGGCACGAGCGCTCCTTCCGCACTTTGGTGTGAATAATAGGGAGTTCAAGAAACCACAACGACGACGCCGAGGACAAGGTTGATTAAAAAATGACTATATTCTACCTACGAATCTCGCGATACTCTAAAGTCATTTACTTTGTTTATCACTGACAAAACCTTCACGAAACTGAATCTGGGACACAACGATAAACTTGAAATAAAATTTTAAAAAATTAACCGTTGTGGTTCACGTTCTCCAGACAACGCAGAATTCGGTCATTTCACGCCGCTGTTTTGCCGAGGACGGCAAAGAAATGTACCAAGAATTATAACGCACGTGCACAGCCATTGTTCTCCTAATTAAATCTTTTGTTTAACGTCGTNTTTTTTTTTTTTTTTTGTGCTTGTGGCCCAAAACTGAACACGTTTATGCCGGTTGAAATTTTCGTCGTAAGCTACTCAAACTAGTAAAGTAACTATGCCAGCATTATTTTTCTAGGTTTTCGCAATCCGATCTGTTTTTCTGTGTTGAATTTTGGGTGGCTTCTGTTCACCTTCATCAGATCTAGAGCTTTATTCTTGGTCAGAAGAAATGCAAATTAGATTTATACGAGTACACTGTGCAAATAGCCTACTTGTACGCGTCAGATTTTCGGCCTTTCAAAAACTTCTGCAAACTCGCCAAACAAGCAGAAATAATAGAGAAACTATCGATAACAGATTCTGGTTAAGACTGAAGCATTATTCTGTCACGGATTACCTTACATGGGGTGAGAAACTCGCAAACTAACTCGATGCCCAAGTACAATATTTTCTTACATAAGCTTTATCTTCCTAGGTTTCTGTAATGCGATCTGTTTTTCTGTTCTGAATTTTCGGTGGCTTTTGTCCCCCTTCATCCGAGCTTTCAGTTCTTAAGTCAGAAGAAATGCAAATGAACTTTTCACCGATGTCACGCTTTTCTGAATTTTTTTTTTTTTTTTTCATTACAACTAAAAATAAGCCTTACCGCTCGATTTATCGTTCCGAATGTAACAAATATGCGAATTTTCAAAACAATCTGTTGGAAGCTCGTGAAAATATGAGATCCCAAAGTTGCAAATTCTTACAGAGAAATGTATGCCCGGGGGCAACGCTTGTCCCCGGCCTGACATACATTTCTTTGTGCAAACTGGTAATATTGGGGTCCCACATTTTAAGGAGTTGCAACAGACTCTTATAAAACGTCGCATTTATATGGAATCTGGCATAATAAATTGATCTACTGAGGTAGTTTTTTTGTCACAGCGTGACAACCTGAAAACCCTACCTTTTCTAGGAGCCCATGACCCTGTTCCCATGGTTTCTGCCATTTCCCATTAGCTCAGAACAAAAAAAAACAAAATGCACCAAAAAAATTGCCGAGTTTCGTGGGATCTACCGTAGCTTAACTCCAGGGCCGGGTTGTTCAAATCCCGATTAAGGCGGGGGTACACATGAATTTAAGTCAAATTTTAGGAAGTTTAAAGAGGGGTTAAAAGGATAAAAAGGGGTTTGG